GAAACCAGAGTAGCATCAGAACTAACTATATCGGTTGTCGTTGTTAAGCAGCATGTTGATTTGCATATTCAAAATACTTTTAATATATAATATTCACCCCTTAGTTAAGAACAGTTCAAATCAGATCTTATCCATTTAGATATTACTTGTTCAGAAATATCACCACAATCAAGAGAGTAGCAGTCTGACATCTTGTGCTCTAATCTGACTTTTGTTCTTTTAAATAAAGGCTTTGTTTAACACTGTATACAGTCTTTTCTCTTCAATATCTTTTCTGCCATCTCTCCAGCATTGAAAATCAACAGACTTATACTATGATAAAAATCATATTATACTGAATATTTTTCAGTTTCCTCTTTAACTTTTTCCATTAAATATATCAAATTAGAGGCATGTCTAAATATAGCATAACAATTTTTTTTAATCAGCTACACTCACTGCAAAGGATGTCTTTCATTCAAGAACAAAATCTGTAAACTAGGGTGACCAATGAGCCAACAGTTTACCTTAAATCTATAAGAAAAAATTAAATGAATGCGGAAAAAAAATTTTGAAGTTTGATTTTATTTTTCTTTAATCACAATAAAAGCTTACTTATATTTGAAGAAAGTGTTCAACTTCTTTCATGCTGAGAGGGAGTTAACAAAGAGTTTTGATGGACAGTTAAGTTTCATTTGTAAGATTAAGGAGAGGTAACAGTTTACTTTCATATGAAAGACAGTTAGTAGTTTATGTTCATGAACGGAAAATCATCAGACATTAACACTACTCAGAAACTGGCTCTGATAACAAATTCTTCCCATTCATAACCACAAATAAAATACTACACTAATCAAAGATTGCTGATAATAATATAATTATACCCAAATACCAACCATACATATATATATATATACAGAATAATCAGATTATTTTATATTATAATTCTAAAGATTTCTCACCTAGGTATCTTAAGTGTTCAAAAAAGAAACAAAAGACAGACTTACGTTTGTTGAGTATTGAAAATATCATAATATTTAACACAATTATACTTTACGATACTGTACAATGCATAAGAAAAAAAATTAGTTAAATACCTAGGAAAGACTTCTACCTTAATATGTTAGGTAATATAATAGAAATTTTTCTAGCATTTCAAAGTGAGGGAACCAGATTACAATGCAGGGCTGGTGCCATGGGTTTATATGTGTTTGCCCAGTTTAGATATTGCTCAGATGAAAATATTTCTACTGCCTTAATAATAAAAACAAACCTGCAAAAACAACACTGTGAAAGTTTCAAAACAATGCACTGTTATGTAACTTATTAATTAATATACAGTGACATATAATAGTAGTAAATACAAGTTTATGTCATGATATAAAAGACTGTTTGATTTAAATATTAGTGATTCGTTTATATTTGTGAATGAATATTTTATTATTTTTAAGTTTTGTTATAATAAAAGTTAAAAGCAGATGTTTGTAGGTTTTGTTAATAACAAATTGGTATCGAGAATATAGAAAGTGGCCAGACGACTATGTAATAAAGATATAAATAGTGTGAGACGAGTGGGAAGCAGTAGACATACACTATTAGACAGATAAAAGCAAAGAGAATATAGTTGGTGTGAAGTAACTTAAAAGTGATTGGCCTAATGACTGACATAGGCCTAACACTTAATATGTTAGAGTGAAACTAACAGTATAAAAAAGATAAGAAGGATAATTTTATTCCATCAAAGCATGGTTCTAAAGTAATTGAATCTGCTTGGATACAATTTGACAAAAGGAACAGAGGATTTTCAGAAGAAAGAAGACCAAACGAATTATGGTAACTTGCACCACAACTGTAAGTGAATCACACACAGAATACTAGTACGATAGTAATATAGAGAAAATAGTTCAACTTG